AAAAGCTTATGGTATTATGTACAGACTTTTGTAATTAAATTTCCTTCATAAGATGTGTATTTTTTTTGTGTATGCAGCTTAAGATGGAGCAAAGTGATGAAACTGATTTAATGCTGATAATGCACAGGTAGTCTAAAATCTAAATACTAGTTTATAGTGTATTTTTGATAGGAAATTGCAACATTTGCTTACAAGTTGAAGAAAATATGCAACCTAGAACCAATATATGCAACATTTTAGGATTATAACATTGTCATTATAAAATGTGAAACGTTGTTTAAATGAGAATGAGTTTTCTTTGCTATCGGAGCAATTCTGATAACTGGGCCAAATGTTGACTTTGATTTTGGTTGGCATCTGTCAAAAAGAAAATATAAACTTATAGGGATTACCACTATGAAGGCTTTGCTGTTTTAACAACTTATAGCACTCTTAAGTTAATGTTATTTCTTATAAAGATTGTTATTATGAAAGCTGAATATACCTCTTAATGCTTTTAAATGTGTCTGAACAGGTTAGAAATAAAGATATGGTGTTTCAACAACTTATAGTACTCTTAAGTCAATGTTATTTCTTATAAAGATTGTTATTATGAAAGCTGAATTTACCTCTTAATGCTTTTGAATGTCTGAACAGGTTAGCGATAAAGATATGGTGTGAAAATCAACCAAAACTTACAATGAAGAATCCGACAAGGAAAGCCAAATGACCAATCTTGAATGATTCCTGTTTGTGTATATCCTTAAATACCCCTCTGGTTTTAAAACTTGTGCTTATTTATTATCTTCAGGAAATGATGTGCTTATTTTTCTAAAAAGATGCCAAATACTGCATGGAAAACACCTTGAGCACTTATTTAGTATGCCTGGTAGATCTTTACAGATGAAATTTCATTTTTTTGCAGGAGTGTCTTCATTCAGCTGTGATGCTTGAACAGGCATCTTATTGTGTTACCTTTTATTTTAGCCAAACCAATTATGTTAAGAAAGTATGGATTTCACCTGAAGGGCAGCCTGCTTTTGTTTCTGGTGATCTGTACAAGAAATGCAATTATTGTAATTAATTAATTTTTTTTTAATCTTCAATGCATATAATGAGGGTATTTTGGTCTTTTAACAGGTGTGGAGCTTTATGTTGCAGCAAGATAACAGTGAGTCTTAGGTATGCAGGTCTGTTGCCTATACTTCCAACTGGTATCAATGCGGTGGCATGGCCCATGAACCAATAAAAGAAGTCCCCAACCGGGGGCAAAAAGGGAAATGTGCTTCATGGAAGCAACAAGAGTCGAATTCAGGAAGATGCACTTCGCACTCTTAGTTTGGGAGAAGGTTATACATATATTCACTCTTAGTTAACCAATATTTTAAGTAAGTTACAAAAATGGTCCCTTTGCTCTCTGAATTTTACCATGTGTCCAAAATTGAAACCTTTCCTTATTTCAAGAATTCGTATTAATTTTGGTATATAAGAGCCAAAATCAATATGAAAATTTTAAATAAGGACTCAGAAAGCAAGGGAACCATTTTTATAATATTTTTATTATGATTGTTTTAAACATCATTTAGAGGTCTTAAATTGACAAAAAAAAAATTAAGTGGCTAATTAGTTGTAAACAATGGTTATGACTTGTGAGTGGTTACTGATGTTGTTCTGTTGTTGTATTGTGGTGGTGGTTTATGACAAACTAAGCATGCTACTTTCGTTTTTTAAACAAAAATAACATGCTACTTTCATTTTAAAAATAAAAATAACATGGTTTTTGCTATTTTTGCAAGCTCGGCTAAGAAAACAGAACAAGTTTGTAAAGAGGTGAATATTGTCTGCATATCAATATATAGTTTCTCTTCTAATAAATCGTGCCTGCATATATATAATTATGGGTTGGTGAGGCACTTACACTAATGGGAGATGAATCAAAAGAAGCAGATGTTGCATTTTGATCAAACCATAATTCTTCATTTAAAAAACTTGTGGAATTTCGTTGACCTTAAAATCATTACATGCATTTGATGCATGCAGGTTAAATAAATGATTCTATCTTCCCTTGCTTCCTAAACTCAAAACCTGAATCACATGTCAATGGCAGGAAGTTGTTGATTTTGATTCTCACTGGTGTATTCCTATGATACATAGGTATGATTCTTGATTATTCTCAAATATTTGTTGAGTATTGTTATATGTCTCCCATTAAGTGTATTTTAGTATTTTGTTCGTATGTATACTCCATCTATTTACCATGCATGTTAAAAATATATTTTCAGGGAAGAATAATAACTGACCTAAACATCTCCCAATAACATGAATTTCTTTGATTTGAGTTGACATTTCATAATTTCAGCCATTTGATTACTGATTTCTTTGCCATATGAATTGATGCTTTTTTGGGAAGTAACAACCCAACCATCACCCTTTTAGTCCACCAAAACCAGATGATGTTGCTACACCCTACAATATTATGTTATTGCTACAGCCTACCAAAGTTGAATCTTTTGTTACCATAAGTGGAACTTATTCCTTTTCCTACATGGTGATAAAGCTGGGGAATCTTTTCTTACCATCGGATGTGTAAGTAAAATCCCTTTGTTTCACACCATTATTTTGTTCTAATACTTTGCATGCTTTTTTCAGTCATATATCTTATATCCTTATCTTCCTTTATTGTACCTAATCACATCATGACAAAACTATTGTTTCCTTTCAACTTAAGGGGGGACAAAACTTTACACTGTATCTTCTGACAACTTGAAATTGTTGGATGACATATATGCCAAAATCAAGACCTACTGTGTTCCATGATTATACAAACCGAGTATATGATAAATTTATGTATTTTTTTTAATCAGTAAGGCTTTTTGATGATACTCAGTTAGGTGGGTACTTAATTCAGTGTTGATATGAATGCAGTGAAGTCATCTGGTGGTCTAAGAGAAAGACTGTCTAATGCAGCTGCATTTAATGCAAAGAGTTAAGAATCAATTAATAAAGGTAACAATGTACAAAATTTTCTTCAGTACTTTTAGTTTTCCATAATTTAAAGAATATAATATTTCTGATATCATATCTTGCATCTCCTATATGCTATGTGGGACAAATTAGTATTTAACAATAATGAAAGACAAACTTGGCTATCACTCTTGTAAATAATGTTTTTTTTTTTTTTTTTTTTTTTTTTTTTTTTTTTTTTTTTTTTTTTTTAAATCTTCAATGCGTATACTGAGGGTATTTTGGTCTTTTAACAAGTTTGGAGCTTTGTGTTGCAGCAAGGTAACAGTGAGTCTTAGGTATGCAGGTCTGTTGCCTATACTTCCAACCGGTATTCAGTGTGGTGGCATGGCCCGTGAACCAATCAGAGAAGTCCCCAACCGGGGGCAAAAAGGGAAATGTGCTTCATGGAAGCAACAACAGTCGAATTCAGGAAGATGCACTTCGCACTCTTAGTTTGGCAGAAGGTTATACATATATTCACTCTTAGTTAACCATTATATTAAGTAAGTTACAAAAACGGTCCCTCTGCTCTCTGATTTTTACCATGTGTCTAAAATTGAAACCTTTCCTTATTCCAAGGTTTCGTATTGATTTTGGTCCTTAAAACATTATATATACTATCAATTCCTAAAAGCTTAGCTACAGTTATCTTTCCTCTCTTTCTTATTTGGCCACAGAAGTCTTCTCCTTTCTTATTTTGCCACTGGAATTTGGGTTTTACCTACTCAATACTTTCGTTTACTTGGTCCTTATCTTCTTCTCCTGAACGTTGGTTGCCCCTTTTTCCCTCCATTAAGAGGTCGGTGTAACAGTGATGTTTTGCCAATTCCATTTGGGCCACGAAACTTTCATTGCTTTTCTAGATTTGCCACACTGGTAGGTTTGCTTTAATTTTTAATTTATGCCGGTTGCCGACTTAAAACTTATGTTATGCTTATCTTCTATTTTTCACATCTTTTCGCTACCCTTCTTCTGTAAATCTCTTTCTCTTTTGTTTTTTTTGGAATTCTCTTACGATTCTGCGTTCGTGTCTTCTTCTTCATTAGGTATGTATGGTTCCTCTTACACAATTATTCCATGTCGGGAATTTTGTCTTCCAAACAGTCTTGCCGTTTAGCTGGGATTGTTGCTCCTCACATGCCATCTTCACTGTTTCTAATAATTGTTTCAATTTGCCTGCTTATGATGTTGCTCTTCGCCGTCTGTGTTTCTGCTTTAGGTACGTCTTGTGATTTCTCACAGACAAAGATCTATTGACAGATCAACAAAGCGAAGACGATGATTTTCCTTTAACTCCAGGACGAGGAGTCAAAGAAGACTTATAATTTCAGGTCTTTGGTTAATCTGCGTGCTTTCACAACAGACGGATTTGTTTTAAAAGGTTATATTATTTTTATTCAGACCGCCTTCAAAATTGGGTCAGCTTTATCTTCTCCACTTCCTACCCTACTCTCCTCTTAAGTTAATTCTTCAAATTGTATTTGTTGGTGTATCAACGCCACGAAGAAGAAGCTCGATATGCGTTTCCCTGCTGTAAGTTTTCCTCTTTCCATGTTTTATGCCATTACAAATGATAAGCATACGGTTTAGGTAATTAGGTGTCCGGTATTTGTAGTGTGTGTGGTTTTGAAGATGCTATAATCGTAGCTTATTCCTATGGAAGATCTTTACTTCGCTTTGGGATTACTGATATCCTAATCATAATTGTTGCTTTTTGACATGTTTTTCACTTCAAAATTGATATGGCTTCACAGTCTTCTTAAGAAAAAAAAAAAAAGACCTACCACGAAGGGAATATTGTTGTTGGTGTAAATTAACATCTGATAATCAATCGGTTTCGTTAAGTAATTTGCAGGATGTAATTTGATATTTTAGAGTGATTATATGATTTATTTCTGCTTCCTTTCCACCTCTTGCTTTGACTTTTCCCTTTCTAATGCCTCATGCTTACTCGAGGTGATCTTCCTTTACACCAACAATCAATTGGGTGCACCTTCATGTAATCCTGAAAATGATCATCTGTCACTCTTCTGTACCACTTCCTGTGGATGCTTTTATTGACAGATTAGATGATCTTTCTTTGGATTACTGCTCACGCTACAGTTCATCATTTATATCATCTCCTGATATTTTCCTCGAGTGCCTAGAGAGATACATGTATGTTGACAAGGTATATCTCTCAATTCTTGCTGAAAGTAAATTATATTTTTTCTTTATAAATTCAACTTAGAGTACAATATGGTTCCTTCAAATTTTGATTTTTATTTAGGGCTTTCGTAGGAGCAACTCAAGGAATCAATTGGAGCAACTAGCAGTTTATCTTCGTAGACTTGTATGAAACTTTTTACTATTTATATCTACAGAAAGACTAAAGTATTATTGTATGATCAGGTTTTGACTCATCGTGTGGGTTCAATGTGTATGCTTTCATTGGTATATTCTGAGATCTTCAAGATGCTTTGAATGTGGAGGCTATCTTAAACAGAGAAGTACAGAGTCTGATCATCAACATATCATGACAACTGAATCACTGTTACTGAAGGTCTGTCTTTTTTGTTGTTCTAAGCTTATTTATCATTAAGTAGAAGAAAATCTGTAAATATATTATTGAATTTATGCATATTAGAGTATTAGTACAACAGTCTTTTAGAGTATTAATACAACAGTCTTTTTGTTGATTTGAGAAGTCAGCCATGGTATATCTATTATTCACATAATTTATTAATCTTTTATGCAGATTTTGAGAGACTTGAAGCATGCTTTTTGGCCTTTTCAACTTGACCAAAGTAAAAGCCTATTTCTGCCAATCATTAGATGACACGTCCCACTCACACATCAAAGCGTTGGTTGGTTTGAGTTACATTTTAATACCTCAAAGTTATAAAAAGTTCAAATTTTAAAGCAAAAAAATGGTTCATTTTTCATTATATACATTAAAATTGTAAAAAGTTATTATTTTTATCCAAAAACATTGTTGATTTTTCAGTACGATACCTCAAAATTGTAAAAATTAACATTTTTTTTACGTGTTTCCAAATGGTATGGTCAGCTTATATTTGACATGTTCAAACATTAACTTTTTTATATTGCTGGAGGCTGCCATCTAAACAAGAGAAGAGAAGAATATTACCGATCTAAATATTATGCTCCTAAGGTTTTCAAGGTAAGAAAAGTTTTTATAATTCTAATAATAACACATCAACATAAGTAATAAACAAAAGGTTATAATCGTAAAATGTCTATATGTCTGTAACATATATAAAAATATATTATTATTATTTTTTTAAAAATCTGACTTATTCACCCTCTCTACGTGTGGAATGAATGTTCAGAAGTAGAGAATTGATTGAGCAGCATGACTCACTTCTGAAAGATTCTGATCCAGTTCTTGTGTCATCTAATATTAGAAGGAAAGCATAGGCAATGGATAGCCTGATGGGTATATATACCATATTCCACTTTTTTTTTTGAATGGAATAAAAGTTACAATATAATATTTTTTTTCACAATTGAATCAATTTTAAAAAGACCTAAAGTGATTAAACTTCTGCAGAAAACCAATAGGTAAACTGATTACCTAAAATGTTTGATTCTGGTTATGTGAGATTGTCAGTGAGCTTTATTCAGTTCTTAATCTGTTTCATGTCATTTTTTTTGGTTGTTTCATTGTATGTTTGACCTTGCAGTTTTTTTTTTTTTTTTTTTTTTTTTCATCTATTTTTTTTGCTGCAGATGATGTATCGATAGGGAGATCCTTGGTTGATTCAAGAAGTGGATGTGGTGGACCAGGTAGATGTATTAGGACAGAAAACAAATGGGATTAGAAGCCAATTTTTAGGTGAATAAAGATATAAGTTTTAGGTTTTTTGTAGTGATTGTTGTAATGTTTGTACTGTTTAACTTTGACGATAAAACCACAACATGTTATAACTATTGAAACAGTAAGGCAACATGATACTAGAGAAGTATACAACACAAATTTTCTCATGTCACCAACAAAGATCGGGGTTTCATTTTTTGAGAAGCTTTATGAGGAGCTTAACAAGGTTAATACCGCATAGATACATCAGGTATATCTCATATCACAAATGACAATTATTTTTGGCATAAATGTTATGTATGATGACTCCATAATTGTTAGGAGAAAGGCACCTGGATGAGGACCAACAGATTAATCTGAATGATTGGACTCAGATGAGAAACTCTTCTATCAATAATTCTACTGGTGAGAAAGTTGAATTTCATTCATAAAATCACAGGTTATTTTGATATGATGTTTCTATCTTTAAAATTGGAGTTACAATTCTATTGCATATATTGATTCCAAATATAATAAACATTATGGTTCTCGGTTTGAGTTTAATTTATATTTGACCAATTTCAGTTTTCATGAGGTTGCAAAGTTTTGTTGGTTTCCCTTTTCAAAATTTGGTTTGACATGATAGAGTGGCGCTAAGGGTGTTGATTTTGAAAACGTTGACTTGCCATCAGATGTCAAACCACTATAAGACATAGATTTCATCGATGAGTTTAATTTCTATTTGATTTGTTTTAGATATTTATCAAAATAGCTATATTTTGCAAACCGCTGTAACAATATAACCATATTTTCTTAAGAACACCCACATGGCCATTTTTTTAGATGATAAATAATTTTCAAGGGCTACTAAAGATTTTTGAAGAAACAAAAAAAAAAAATTATTTATAACATTCATTTTCTACACATATTGTTCGAAGTAATTAGCTAAATGCTTCGTTTTTTATAATCATAAGACATATATTTCATCAATGATTACTCTGTAGTTAGCTAAATTTCTTTTCTTTCTGGTGTTCATTCTAATTTCCAGGTGTATGGTGATGGCTTTTTAGTAGTAAAATCTTTTTTATTATTGTTATTGAGGTTTTATTCAGAATGAGGTATCATCAAAAGAAGAGAAACCTGGAACTAAATTAATCATGGCAGAGGTAAATGAAGTAGATGAAAAAGATGCATCTTTTGAGGGAAATAACAATGCAACATTGACCGTTGACACAGGTCAAATTTTCATTTTTATGTTAAATCTGTTTCTTTTTTGAACCGAGTAAAACATTTGACATTCTACTTGAAAGTATGATACATAGGTATGATTCTTGATTATTCTCAAATATTTGTTGAGTATTGTTATATTTCTCCCATTAAGTGTATTTTAGTATTTTATTCGTATGTATTTTCAGGGAAGAATAATGACTGACCTAAACATCTCCCAATATCATGAATTTCTTTGATTTGAGTTGATATTTCATAATTTTATCCATTTGATTACTGACTTCTTTGCCATATGAATTGATGCTTTTTTGGGAAGTAACAACCCAACCATCACCCTTTTAGTCCACCAAAACCAGATGATGTTGCTACACCCTACAATATTATGTTATTGCTACAGCCTACCAAAGTTGAATCTTTTGTTACCATAACTGGAACTTATTCCTTTTCCTACATTTTCTTACCATTGAATGTGTAAGTAAAATCCCTTTGTTTCACACCATTATTTTGTTCTAATACCGTGCATGCTTTTTTTCAGTCATATATATTATATTCTTATCTTCCTTTATTGTACTTAATCACATCATGACAAAACTATTGTTTCTTTTCAACTTAATGCGGGACAAAACTTTACACTGTATCTTCATTCGTGTAGGACAACTTGAAATTGTTGGATGACATATATGCCAAAATCAAGACCTACTATCTTCATTTATGTATTTTTTTTAATCAGTAAGGCTTATTGATGATACTCAGCTAGGTGTGTACCTAATTCAGTGTTGGTATGAATGCAGTGAAGTCATCTGGTGTGTACTTAATTCAGTGTTGATGATACTCAGTTAGGTGTGTATGTAATGCAAAGAGTGAAGCATCACTTAATTAAGGTAACAATGTACAAACTTTCCTTCAGCACTTTTAGTTTTCCATACTTTAAAGAATATAATATGTCTGATATCATATCTTGCATCTCCTATATGCTATGTGGGACAAATTAGTCTTTAATAAAATGAAAGACTAACAAGGCTGTCACCCTTGTCTCCTGATGTCATGGATTTTCCTAAAGTGTAAAGTTATTTTTAGGATTAACTGAAACCAATAACAAATTACTTTTGTTCATGGCTTCCTAGTTTCATTTCTTTCTACTGCAGTATTCTACTTTCAATTGTTTTGCTTATTAGGACATTATACTCTAAATTTTTTTACCTAATTAAGCAGTGAAGTCACTTTGTTTTTGTAATACATTTGCTAAAACCGGGTAGATTTCTGAAAGTAGAATGTTGTAATAAGATGAAAGGAAATTAGGTTGATGTATTTGATTACTATATAGATGCTAAGGTATAAAACCATTTATTAAGACATTATACTTCCAATTTCTAAACTTGTTTAACCATGGTTAATTACTAATTATAACATGATGCTTTCAAATTTAATTTCTAAGTAAGACATTATATTTTGAAAATATAATCATCCATAGTATTAACCTTTAAATGACATACATTGTTATAGTTTCACCTATTAAGATATTATTTTATTGGTTTAACTTTTTCCTATAAAAATGTTAATTCTTTTATAGTAAAAATTGTGCATTGAAATTTAACCTACCAAGGCACCATACTTCTATTTTTTACCCATATTGAGAAATTACACTAATTTAAGCATTATAAATTTCATATTAACCTATCAAAATGTCTGAATGTTGCACTTTTAACTTTTCCCCTTATTTAGACAATGCACTTTGAAAACATTCTGCCTTTTAGCTTTTTCTTTTAAGGCATTACACTTTGAAAATTAAATTACTTAGGCCTCGTTTGTTATTCTACAAAAGTACTTTTTGAGCACTTTTCCCTTCTGGGGGATTAAACTTTACACTGTATCTTCATTCGTGTAGGACAACATGAAATTGTTGGATGACATGCCAAAATCAAGACCTACCGTGTTCCATGATTATACAAACAGATTATATTTTCTTTTATTTTTTTTTAAGGCATTACACTTTGAAAATTAAAATACTTAGACATTATACTTAGAAAATATAACCTATTAAAAAATTTTCTTTTATTTTTTTTCCTACATGTTTCATGTTTGATTTTGATTACCGCTTGTCAATGAGGTGTTCTTCAGGAATATGCACTGCACCCAATTGAAGAATTTTATGAAGGCATACAATGATAAAAGGAGCAAACTCTTGATGAGGTAAAAAAAATTAACAATGTGTAAGTACTCTTTTTTCATTGTTTAATTATCTCTTTTAAAAAAAAAAAAAAGCTTATGGTATTATGTACAGACTTTTGTAATTACAATTCCTTCATGAGATGTGTATTTTTTTTTTTGTGTATGCAGCTTAAGATGGAGCAAGGTGATGAAACTGATTTAATGCTGATAATGCACAGGTAGTCGAAATACTAGTTTGTAGTGTATTTTTGATGTGAAATTGCAACATTTGCTTACAAGTTGAAGAGTTTAGTTGTTATTATGTACATAACAACCCGGATTTTTGGAGAAAATATGCACCATGGAACCACTATATGCAACATTTTAGGATTATAACATTGTCATCATAAAAAAGAAAATATAAACTTATAGGGATTTGATGGTCTATGAAGGCTTTGCTGTTTTAACAACTTATGCAAAGATTGTTATTATGAAAGCTGAATTTACCTCTTAATGCTTTTAAATGTGTCTGAACAGGTTAGAGATAAAGATATGGTGTGAAAATCAACCAAAACTTACAATGGATAATCCGACAAGGAAGGCCAAATGACCAATCTTGTATGATTCTTGTTTGTGTATTTCCTTAAATACCCCTCTGGTTTAAAAACTTGTGCTTATTCATTATCTTCAGGAAATGATGTGCTAATCTTTATAAAAAGATGCTAAATACTGCATGGAAAACACCTTGAGCACTTATTAAGTTTGCCTGGTAGTTCTTTACAAATGATATTTGTTATTTAGTCAATTCTTTTATATATTTAAAAAGTTTACCTTTTATTTTAGCCAAACCAATTAAGTTAAGAAAGTATGGATTTCACCTGAAGGGCAGCCTGCATTTCTTTCTGGTGGTATGCACAAGAAATGCAATTATTGTAATTAATGTTATTTTTATTTTTTTTTTATTTTTTTTTTTTAATTTTCAATGCGTATACTGAGGGTATTTTGGTCTTTTAACAGGTGTGGAGCTTTATGTTGCAGCAAGGTAACAGTGAGTTTTAGGTATGCAGGTCTGTTGCCTATACTTCCAACCGGTATCAGTGTGGTGGCATGGCCCATGAACCAATCAAAGAAGTCCCCAACCGGGGGCAAAAAGGGAAATGTGCTTCATGGAAGCAACAAGAGTCCAATTCGATTATCCTATGCAGAAGATGCACTTCACACTCTCAGTTAACCAATATTTTAAGTAAGTTACAAAAATGGTCCCTCTGCTCTCTGATTTTTACCATGCGTCCAAAATTGAAACCTTTCTTTATTTCAAGGTTTCGTATTGATTTTGGTCCTTAAAACATTTATATAAGAGCGAAAAATCAATATGAAATTTTAAAATAAGGACCAAAATTGATAAAGATTAAAGATTTATGCCTTGCGGCTAAAATCAGAAAGCAAGGGAACCATTTTTATATATTTTTTTTCTAATGATTGTTATAAACATCATTTAGCTGTCTTAAATTAACAAAAAAAAAACAGATTAGTGGCAAATTAGTTGTAAATGATGGTTGTGACTTGTGAGTGGTTAGTGATGTTGTTCTGTTGCTGTATTGTGGTGGTGGTTTATGACAAACTAAGCATGCTACTTTTGTTTTTTAAACAAAAAGAACATGCTACTTTCATTTTTTTTCAAAAAAGTAACAATTAAGGTTTTGGCTATTTTTGCAAGCTCGTCTAAGAAAACAGAACAGGTTTGTAACGAGGTGAATATTGTCCACATATCAATATATAGTTTCTCTTCTAATAAATTGTGCCTGCATATATATAATTGAAGTGGCGATTTCTTTCAGATTGAGGCTATGGGTTGGTGAGGCACTTACATTTAGGGGAGATGAATCAAAAGAAGCAGATGTTGCATCAATTAAATAAGAACTCCAAAACAAATCAATGGAACAGTGACGGATGAATGAAAAACACTGAATATTCAAATAGATAGCCCCATATTCGAGAGAGGGGAATTCTCCATGTTCTAGAAGAACTTTACAATGATTTTCTGCATACCCTAAATGACTAAAGACAGCATATAAATACCCTCAGCAGAGGACAAAACAAAATGGTCCCCCACTGCAAAAGATAAACGCCTAAAGGTAGTGGCACGATAACAATAACTGATTAATATAAAATAAAAGACCGAATTACCCTTCTTCCCATAATTCTGAAAACATCACTCAATTGGACTATTCTTCATTTGGGCCTTGCGCCTGTTTCTCTTCTCTGGTAAACCTTCAGGGGTGGGGAGTTATCATTAGCGGCGGCCCAAAGTTTGACCTTGTCCCCAAGGTGAAATTCTAGGAATTGCTTGTCCAGCTTCTCAAAATCTTCCCAGGTTGCTTCATGCTCAGATAAATCTTGCCACTGTACCAAGACTTGTGTGCCCTCTAACTTGTCATGGGTATTCCTCTTTTTCTCCCGAACTCCTTTGATTGATGCGGGTTGTACCACCAATTCCATTTAAGCATTCAACTGTGGGTGTATAGTAGCTGTTGGTGGCAAGTCTGGTTTATATGCCACTTTCCCCACTCGTTGAAGGATCTTATAGGGCCCATAAAATCGAGCAGCTAACTTTTCATACCTTCGTCTTGCTGCCTATAAGGCTTGAGTTTGAGGTAGACCTGTTTTTGTTGGCCTGATCCCTCATCTTTTGTTGGGCTCGGATTAAATTCATCCAACATTGCATCTCTGTCTTCTAGAAGCTGCTCCAAGGCATCCATAGGGGTATTTTGGCCTTCAAAGCGGATGAGGGGTGGAGGATCCCGACCATAGAGAGCCTTGAAGGGGGTACTCTTCAAGGACGTGTGATAAGTGGTATTATACCAAAATTCTGCCCAAGCTAGCCATTTAGCCCATGTCTTCGGATTACCGGAAGAGAAACATCTTAAGTATGTTTCGAGACAGCGGTTCACCACCTCTGATTGCCCATCCGTTTGGGGGTGGTAGGAGGTGCTTCTTTTTAGCTCCACCCCATGTAGACAAAATAACTCCATCCAGAATTGGCTGAGGAAAATCCTGTCACGATCGCTAATAATTGATAAGGGTAATCCATGAAGTCTCACCACTTCCTTCATAAATTTATCAGCCACGGTGGCTGCAGTAAACGGGTGTTGGAGGGGAATGAAATGGGCATATTTGCTCATCCGATGAAATCCATCGTGATTTCATCCCATGTTTGTGCAGGTAGAGTAATGGGTTGTATCAGCCCTGACGGTGCTATACTTCTGTTGCTGACAAACTGCGCATCGCTTACATATTCAATGCCAGAAAAGCTCTGCTGCAGCCCTTTGATAAGTTTTCTTTGTGCCTGAGTGACCTCCTACCGGTGAATCATGGAAGGCTTTGATGACTTCTGGAATGAGGGGTGACTTGGGAGAATTCTGTTGATGAATGCATCTTCTGACAATTCTGCTTTCAGTTTGTCCCACGGCTATTTCATTGCACTCAATAGAGGAATGTGATAGCTTAGACTTGCAATTCACAACAGAAAATAAATCAAACGTAAATGATAGATTCCCACAATTCTAGAGGTGGGTGCTCTCCCAAGTTCATAAGAACTGTTTCATTGATTTCAACATAGAGAAAAACAAAAGATCCTCGAGGACTATATATAAGACAAGCCGGAGACAAAACAGAATAAACCACAGACCCTGCTCCCCACAGACAAAAACGTGGTGGAAGGAGCATAACAACGAAGGGGGCCACAAACTATAAGACAAAAAACAAGATGAAATAATAAACAAGCCTGGGCTGCAGAAAAGGACTAAGATGGAGTGGGCTGATGTGGTTTGTTCCTTCCCCTTTTGTAGACATGGACGTCCTTGGGCCTATCAGAATGCTTTCTAGACAAGGCATCCGCCACCTTATTGCTTGCTTCCGTACGATACTGCACTTCAAATTTGAACCCCATGAGCTTCGATACCCACTTCCCACCACTCTTTGTTCCAGAATATAATTGGTCATTCCGAACTATGAATCTCCGTCCAATAAGATATGGCCTCCATTTGATGACTGCCTTGACTATCGCCATTAGTTCTTTTTCATAAATTGATTTTAGTCGGGCTTGAGCTCCCAGGGCACAACTATAGTATGCAATTGGTCTTCCTTCTTGAATTAGCACCGCCCCAAGCCCGCATCGGTCTCGACAATGAAAGTCTTGGTGAAGTCAGGCATTGCTAAGACTGGAACAGTGGTCATAGCTAGCTTCAACTCCTGAAAAGCCTTTTCAGCCTCTTCATTCCACCGAAAGCTGTCTTTTTTCAACTGATCCGTTAGTGGGGTGGCGATGCAGGCATAGCCTTTCACAAATTTCCTGTAGTATCCGGTAAGCCCCAAAAAACCCCTTAACTCTTTTATGTTGCGGGGAGAGGACCACTCCACTATTGCTTGAATCTTTGTTGCCTCCGCCGATACACCTTCCTTCGATACTTCATGTCCCAAATAGGATAGTCGTGCCCTCCTAAATTCGCACTTCTTGTAGTTCACATATAATTGATGTTCCCGGAGTTTCTCTATAGTGGTCTTCACATGGTCATAATGGTTGAGCTCGTCTCTACTGTAAATCAGTATATCATCAAAAAACACCAAGATGAATTTTCTCAGGAAGGGGTGAAACACTTAGTTCATCAGACCTTGGAATGTGGCTGGTGCGTTAGTGAGGCCGAAGGGCATCACCCTGAATTCAAAACGACCATCATGTGTGCGAAAATCCTCCGAGCGTACCCGAATTTGGTGATATCCGGATCGGAGATCCAATTTGCTGAACACCCTTGATCCGTGCAATTCGTCCAATAACTCGTCGATGACAGAAATGGGGTATTTGTCTGGGACTGTTGCTCGGTTTAAAGCCCGGTAATCCACGCAAAATCTCCAAGAACCGTTATTCTTTTTAACCAAGACGACAGGGCTACAATAGGGACTATTGCTAGGTTGAATGATCTTTGCTGCCAACATCTCTTGGACCATCCTCTCGATTTCATTTTTTTGAAAATGTGGGTACCGGTACGGTTGTACACTCACCGGTGGGGTTCCTTCTTTTAAAACAATCTGATGCTCCTGCAGCCTCTTGGGTGGTAGTCCCTTTGGGTCTTGGAAAACATCTTCAAAGCTGGCTATAAGCTTTCTTAGAAGTTCAGGGGGTTACACCTCGTACTTCTCCAATTCCGAATTGCTAAGTTCAATTAAGACACCGCACTTTTCCCTTTTTAGTTCCCGTGACATAGCCTTGAGAGTGAACAATGATTTTCCCAAGGACGGATCCCCCTTAAGACATACCGACTCTCCGCCAACTTCAAATGCCATTGTTTGGGTCTTCCAATTCGGTTGAGTAGTTCCCAGTGTCTCCAACCACTTAACCCCGAGAATAATATCTGAACTTCCCAGCCGAAGAGGAAGGAATTCCTCCACAACATCAATACCTTCCAGTTGCAGTAAAACCCCTTCGCAAATGCCTTTGCCTGTTTCTTTGTCTCCTGTACCCATCTGTACCCCATACGGTTCCGTTTCATTTATTGGAAGCTTCAATTGAGACGCCAAAGCTGATGATATGAAATTATGAGTAGCCCCTGGGTCTATTAGAGTAACCAC